TGAGATTTGGCATGTTTTGGACTTGAATTTGAGCTTGGTGTTCAAAATCCCCAAAGGGATTGTTTTGGTACAGGACGTGTACCCGCTGGCGGAACGGCGGGCGGGGCACCACCCGCCGCCCCACCCGCGGGTACTAGGCTTGTGGGAGTGTGTTTCCGCAGGAGGGGAACTACCCGTGGGTCCACCCGCGGGGAACAAGTTGGTTTTGTTTGGGGATTTGTTCCCCATGATTCTTTTGACTCGGTATTTGGTCTTTTGACTTCCCGATGTTCTTTTGTGGAATTATTTGAGCGTCTCCTTGATGTTTCGTATGTTTAGAACTATATGGTAGGAATCCATGTAGGTTTTGGTTTCGTGAATCGAGCTAAGTGTTCAACATTGTGTTTCGTTGAACCGTGATGGGTCTTGTGTGTTCTTTGGAACTACGTTTGGTTTACCCGTTTGATAAGCATGCTAATTCGGTGTTTAAATGCTAGCGTGTGTGTTGTTTGTACCTTCTTATGGGTTGATGATAACTTGTGTTATTCATCGTCGTTGTTGTTGGACTATGATCCGTTCCTTGATTGAGTATGGTTTCATATCTTCGTTGTGATCCGTTGATTGATTCCTGATGAGGTGTGATGCGTGTGTGGCTTTACCTGGATTGCACGATTAGTGGTATGGGACACTAGTCACCAAGGTATTGCAGTGGTCCTCGTGGTAGCCATGACGTGATTATGGAGTTGTGACCTTTGTGTAAGGTTCACGTATTTCTTGGGTGGCATGTGTTGTCGTGTGTGTGATCGGTACCCTCGTGTACTATGAAATCGGTGGTTCTATTGGAGATCTGTTGGAGAGGGGACGACGGTCCTCGGAGGGAAAAGGTTGGACTTGGTGTACAGGGGTCCTAGAGGTAAAGGTTGGAACTAGATATAATTAAGGTTGGGGGTAGCCAAAAGGTTGGAACCGGGCATAAGGAAGGCATATCAACTCGTGATGGGTGATGTCACAAGGGCTTGTGTAGCCGTTGTTGTGAGTTCTCTTCTTGTGACATGTGTAGTCACAAGGGCATGTATTGCCTAGGCATGTGTTTCCATCGGTCTTGTCTTTATCCTTTGTGTTGTGGTTATCCTTTGTGGTTTGGGATGTGTTCCCGTATTCTTGGTTGAGAGTGTTGAGTCTTGTGTTGACTATTGCTCTTGGTTTTGTACTTATATATATGTATTCCGTTTCGAAAATGGCTTTACAACCTATATCTTATCTATGTATGTTATTTCTCATGTATTGGTGGGTTACCAGCATTATTCGCTGACCGGGCATCGTCCCATGTTTTATTGTGTTTCTTTCAGGTTATGTCTAGATGAGTGCGCGATCTAGTGCTTGCTAGTATAGCTTCTCCCTCTTTGTTTTGTAGCATGTGTGCCAGTTTAGTTGTACACCTTTGAGACTATGGATTAGATGTAAACATTGCAGATGTTGTCGTAGCGTTCATCCTTTTGGTGAACGTGGCATAACACCCCGTGTTTTGGATTTATGTTTACCTAGTTATCTTTCAGTCTTCCGATGTGTTTGTTGTTTAGTTCAGTTATCTGCATGTTTAAGGCTTTTAAATAGCTTGTTTTTAGGGGTTGTTACAGTTGGTATCAGAGCATAGGTTTGAGCCTAGGAAGGAGTTAAGTCTAGACTTACTAAGTGGCTAAGTGTGGTTTGAGACCTTTAAGCGACCTTAGGAATCTAAGTTTTAGGCTTAGGACTCTAGGTTGCGCGGTGAGCTGAGTGTTGCTTTCTATTCTTTGCTTGTTTGCTATCTTTTGGTAACTGTGTTGTTGTTGTAGAAGTTTGCGATACCTCCCCGTCAGCGTACCGCAGCGTTTGATGACGCGGGTGAAGTGGTTAATAAATCTAGGTTGGCCAAATCTAGTGACGCTTCTGGGGTAGTTGAGCAATGGATCCGGAGTGGCACGTCAACAAAAGTAAGTCCTAGTGCAGCTACCTTACCGGTATTTTGGGATTTAAGAAGAAACAGGAGAATAGAGGTTCACCATCCGACGAAAGGGTCACCTCAAGGGAGAACGCTTATCTTAAGTGAAGCTCGAACAGGAGACAGTGATGTGGTAATTGGAACCTTTCTCGTGCAGACCGTCCCGGCAGCGATCTTGTTTGATTCGGGAGCATCTAACTCGTTCGTATCACCCGGACTCGTGAAGAAGTTGGGTTTAACCGGTGGCGTTGGTGTGAAGCTTAACGTTAAGGTAGCATCCGGGGAAGTTAGGACGTGTGACCGTCTCTTTGAAGGCATCAAGATTAACATCAAGGGAGAGGAGTTTCCTAGTGATCTAATCCAGTACGACTTGGACGGGATAGACGTGGTCTTAGGTATGGACTGGTTGGGACGGTTTAGAGCCTAAATCCTGTGCAAAGAGCAGAAAGTGGTGTTACGGGGGCCCAGCGGGAAGAGGGTGTCGTATCGGGGAACGACGGAGAAACCCGGGATCAAGTTAGTATTAATGATAAAGATGAAAAAGTACGTGGAGAAAGGCAATGAGTTGTTTTTGTGCTCTGTTGAAAACCTGAAGGCAAAAGGAAATGTAGCTCAGACCATACCCGTCGTCCGTGAGTTCCTTGACGTTTTTCCTGAGGAAATACCGGGTATGCCCCCTCCAAGAGAAGTGGAATTCTCAGTGGACCTTATACCGGGCACTGCACCCATTTCCAAAGCCCCATACCGGTTAGCAACGAAGGAAATGCAAGAGCTGAAAACCCAACTACAAGAGCTTTTAGACAAGGGCTACATCCGACCAAGTACATCGTCGTGGGGAGCTCCGGTGTTGTTTGTAAAGAAGAAGGATGGTAGTATGAGATTGTGTATCGACTACCGAGAACTGAACCAAGTCACCATCAAGAACAAGTACCCCCTTCCACGAATCGACGACTTGTTTGACCAACTCCGTGGCACAGGAGTGTTTTCCAAGATTGACTTGAGGTCGGGGTATCACCAGATAAAGGTGGCAGACAAGGATATTCCTAAGACGGCATTTCGGACTCGGTACGGTCATTACGAGTTTACGGTGATGCCGTTCGATTTAACAAACGCCCCTGCAGTGTTTATGGACCTGATGAATAGAGTATTCAAACCTCATCTCGACAACTTCGTGATCGTGTTCATCGACGACATCCTTGTGTATTCAAGGGATAAAAGGGAACATGTTGGACACCTTCGGACAGTACTCCAAATTCTGAGGGAAAAACAGTTGTACGCCAAGCTTTCAAAGTGCGAATTTTAGAAGGATAGTGTAGCATTTCTGGGTCACGTGATTGATAGTAGGGGTATTTCTGTGGATCCGGATAAGATACGAGCAGTGAAGGATTGGACTGTGCCTACATCGGTGGCGGAAGTAAGAAGCTTTCTTGGCTTAGCGAGTTATTATCGAAGGTTTGTTTGGATTTCGCTAAGGTGGCTCAACCATTGACTAAGTTATTAAGGAAAGAAGTGCCTTTCGCTTGGAATCAAGCTTGTGAGTTAGCATATCGGGAATTGAAGGAGAGACTCACGTCTGCACCAGTTTTAATTTTGCCATCAGGAACGGAAGGGTTTGAAGTATACAGCGATGCATCCAAGAAGGGACTAGGTTGTGTGTTGATGCAAAATGGGAGAGTAATTGCGTACGCCTCGCGTCAACTTAAGGTCCATGAAGAGAATTACCTTACACATGATTTGGAATTGGCCGCCGTAGTGTTTGCTTTGAAGATTTGGAGGCACTATTTGTACAGGGTGCGTTGTAAGGTCTTCACGGATCACAAGAGTCTCAAATATATCTTCACCCAAAAAGATCTTAACATGCGACAAAGAAGGTGGTTATAACTCATCAAGGACTATGAATTGGATATCCAGTATCACGAGGGAAAGGCTAATGTAGTAGCGGACGCCTTAAGCAGGAAATCGAAGCATACCGTCAATTCTATTTGGATAGTAGCTTATGAGCTTTGCAAAGATTTCCAACGGATGGACTTGGAAGTGCAGCGCAAGGTGAGGTCGAATCGGAAGTCCGTTTTTACAACTTAAGAGTGTACCTACATTTCTAGAAGAAATCAGGAAAGAGCAACAGAAAGACGCAAGCTTGATGAAGTCAAGAGATGACTTAATAAAAGGAAAAGGGGGACTGTTTGAACTGTCTAAGGATGGAGAGTTGAGATATAAAGGCCGTTTGTGCGTACCCGCATCTTGTGACCGGTGGAAACGACAGATTTTGGAAGAAGGTCATAACACGCCCTATTCGGTCCATCCCGGAGGCGACAAGCTGTACAAGGATGTGAAGAGTCACTTTTGGTGGCCTAATATGAAGAAGGAGGTCGCAGAGTTTGTTGGAAAGTGCCTTAATTGCCAAAAGGTTAAGGCGGAGCATTGTAAGGTCAAAGGATTGGTACAACCACTAGAGGTTCCACAAGGAAAATGGGACTCCATATCTATGGATTTTGTGGGAGGTCTGCCGACGACCAGTTCGGGTAAGGACAAAATCTGGGTGATAGTTGATCGATTGACTAAGACTGCTTGCCTTATCGCGATGAAGGAGACCTGGACAATGACGCAATTGGCTCAAGCTTATGTTAATCAAGTGGTGAAGTATCACGGAGTTCCGCGGGACATCGTCTCCGATCGTGATCCGAGGTTCTTGTCTCAGTTTTGGAAGTCTCAGCAGGCGGTTCTTGGAACCAAATTAAATCTCAGTACTGCTTTCCACCCGGCTACTGATGGGCAAACAGAGAGGACCATACAGACTATCAAAGATATGTTGAGAGCTTGTATGCTAGACTTCCAAGGGTCTTGGGAGGACCATTTGGATTTAATCGAGTTTTCTTACAACAACAGTTATCATTCGAGCATACGCATGGCGCCTTATGAAGCCCTCTATGGTCAGAAGTGTCGCAGTCCGCTATGTTGGGAGGATTTAGTCAACCCGATAGTGTTGGGACCGCAATATTTTCTTGACACAACCGAGTAGATTAAACAAATTCAAGGAAGGATGAAAGCGGCTCAAGATCGCCAAAAGTCCTACGCCGATTTGGCTAGAATGCAAGTGGATTTCTCAGTTGGGGATAAAGTTTGGTTGAAAGTATCTCCCACCCGGGGAGTGATGCGGTTTGGAAGAAAAGGAAAGTTGAGCCCCAGGTTTATAGGTCCGTATGAAATCCTTGAGAGGGTTGGAAGTTTAGCCTATCGCTTGGCGTTGCCCTTGGAATTGGAGAGGGTGCACGGCGTGTTCCACGTATCGCAGCTCAAGAGATATGTTCACGACCCAACTCATGTCTTATCATCGGAAGTGATACCGCTGGATGAGGACTTGACCTATGAGGAAAGGCCGCTCAGAATTCTGGATTTCAAGTCTCGGGACACTCGTAGGAAGTCTGTAAAGATGGTGAAGGTTTGGTGGACGCATCACGGGGTTGAGGAAGCTACTTGGGAGCTGAAGTCCACCATGCGAGAGCGGTATCCAGAGTTGTTCTCGGCAGGTACCTCGTCTTCATTGTTTGTTGCTTGCCTTGTGTGCTTGTTTGTCGTTTGTTGCTTTGTTGTTTAGTTAGCTTAGTAGTTGGTGTTGGTTGTCTAGTTCTTGGTTGTTGTCTAGAAGTCGGTGTTTGTGTTGAGGCTAGAGTTCTTGATGCTTAATCTATCCGTTTGTTAAACTTTTGCCAATCCTTGATTTGAAACGCCTTGTTTCTTGCTTTGGAATACTTCATTGCCTTGAAATTTTGTGGAATCTTTTTGGGTCTTTGACCAAAAGAGTTTGTTCTTGAACCTCGTGTCACAATGTTGTTTCTTTTCACCGTTTGCCTTTAATTCGTCGTACCCAAGCTTCGGGGACGAAGCTTCTTTGAAGGGGGAGAGGATGTGACACCCCGAAATCCAAATTCAAATAAAGGATTAATTGAGTAATTAATTCTATTTCAGTTTGTAATTTAATTCCTTAAATTCCTGAAATTTAATAGTTGGGGACTAGTAATTGACTAGTCAACCCCAAAGTCAAAGTTGTACATTGAGCTTTGTAAGGAGTTCCCTTGTTCCTTACACTTCCTTATGTTAGTAAGGGTATTCTTGACCTTTCACTTGTTGTTGGTATTGTAACCTAACCTAGTAGACCACCTTCATTTTCTCCTTACACTTTTCTAAAAATCTAGCTCCACCTTCTCTCTAAAAAGGTGAGTAGCTTTTCTTCCAAGCCAAGTTGGAACCTTGCCAAAACTTCAAGAGTTGCTTCCAAGATTCAACCTTTCTTATATTTGGGCATCTAGGAGGGTAAGATCTAAGTTCATCTTGTGTTTTTTGTTTTATCTAAGGTGTCTTTTCTTAAAGATGGGATCTTTATGATCTTTTGGTATGTTCTTGAAGTGGGTTTGGAAGGTGAGCCTAGTGAGGAGCTTGTTGAGGTGTAAAGTGAAGTCTTTAGTCTACAAGAGGTAACCCATGCTCTACAAAATCTATTTTGCTTACCTATTTGATGATTCTTGGATTCTACATGTGAATTTGACATGAAATGTGAGTGTTGATGCATGATCTTGTGAAAATGCATATCTAGAGCTTGTGTTTAGGGTTCTTTTGTGCCATTGCTTGGCATTTCCTTTGATTCAAGTCATTTTGTTGTATTTGCTGAGATTTGGCATGTTTTGGACTTGAATTTGAGCTTGGTGTTGAAAATCCCCGAAGGGATTGTTTTGGTACAAGACGTGTACCCGCTGGCGGAACGGCGGGCGGGGCACCACCCGCCACCCCACCCGCAGGTACTAGGCTTGTGGGAGTGTGTTCCCGTGGGCAGGGCACTACCCGTGGGTCCACCCGAGGGGAACAAGTTGGTTTTGTTTGGGGATTTGTTCCCCATGATTCTTTTGACTCGGTATTTAGTCTTTTGACTTCCCGATGTTCTTTTGTGGAACTATTTGAGCGTCTCCTTGATGTTTCGTATGTCTAGAACTATATGGTAGGAATCCATGTAGGTTTTGGTGCCGTGAATCGTGCTAAGTGTTCAACATTGTGTTTCGTTGAACCGTGATGGGTCTTGTGTGTTCTTCGGAACTACGTTTGGTTTACCCGTTTGATAAGCATGCTAGTTCGGTGTTTAAATGCTAGCGTGTGTGTTGTTTGTACCTTCTTATGGGTTGATGATAACTTGTGTTATTCATCGTTGTTGTTGTTGGACTGTGATCCATTCCTTGATTGAGTATGGTGTCATATCTTCGTTGTGATCCGTTGATTGATTCCTGATGAGGTTTGATGCGTGTGTGGCTTTACCTGGATTGCACGATTAGTGGTATGGGACACTAGTCACCAAGGTATTGCAGTGGTCCTCGTGGTGGCCATGACGTGATTATGGAGTTGTGACCTTTGTGTAAGGTTCACGTATTTCTTGGGTGGCATGTGTTGCCTTGTGTGTGATCGGTACCCTCGTGTACTATGTAATCGGTGGTTCTGTTGGAGAGGGGACGACGGTCCTCGGAGGGAAAAGGTTGGACTTGGTGTACAGGGGTCCTAGAGGTAAAGGTTGGAACTAGATATAAGGTTGGGGGTAGCCATAAGGTTGGAACTGGGCATAAGGAAGGCATATCAACTCGTTATGGGTAACGTCACGAGGGCTTGTGTAGCTGTTGTTGTGAGTTTTCTTCTCGTGACGTGTGTAGTCACAAGGGCATGTGTTGCCTAGGCATGTGTTGCCATCGGTCTTGTCTTTATCCTTTGTGTTGTGGTTATCCTTTGTGGTTTGGGATGTGTTCCCGTATTCTTGGTTGAGAGTGTTGAGTCTTGTGTTGACTATTGCTCTTGGTTTTGTACTTATATATATGTATTCCGTTTCGAAAATGGCTTTACAACTTATATCTTATCTATGTATATGTTTTTTCACATGTATTGGTGGGTTACCAGCATTATTCGCTGACCGGGCGTCGCCCCATGTTTTATTGTGTTTCTTTCAGGTGATGTCTAGACGAGTGTGCGGTCTAGTTCTTGCTAGTATAGCTTCTTCCTGTTTGTTTTGTGGCCTGTGTGCCAGTTTAGTTGTAGACCTTTGAGACTATGGATTAGATGTAAACATTGCAGATGTTGTCGTAGCGTTCATCCTTTTGGTGAACGTGGCATAACACCCCGTGTTTTGGATTTATGTTTACCTAGTTATCTTTCAGTCTTCCGCTGTGTTTGTTGTTTAGTTCAGTTATCTGCATGTTTAAGGCTTGTAAATAGCTTGTTTTTAGGGGGTGTCGGGCATCGCCCCATGTTTTATTGTGTTTCTTTCAGGTGATGTCTAGACGAGTGCGCGGTCTAGTGCTTGCTAATATAGCTTCTCCCTGTTTGTTTTGTGACCTGTGTGCCAGTTTAGTTGTAGACCTTTGAGACTATGGATTAGATGTAAACATTGCAGATGTTGCCGTAGCGTTCATCCTTTTGGTGAACGTGGCATAACATCCCGTGTTTTGGATTTATGTTTACCTAGTTATCTTTCAGTCTCCCGCTGTGTTTGTTGTCTAGTTCAGTTATCTGCATTGCATGTTTAAGGCTTTTAAATAGCTTGTTTTTAGGGGGTGTTACACAGTGCATACCTTTCCCGTTACCACCTTTGGCATTCCACCAAAAATGGTTCATTAACCGCTCCAAATTTTCACAAAATGTAACAATAAGATAGTATATACTCAAAACAAAGCCCAAAACATACGAATCATCCCATTTGTCGGCTTCAAATTTTTTGTGTTTACAAGAATTTTGCAGCAAATAAAGTATCATTACATAGCAGAATTGCAAATATAATTAATATTTTAAGCCTTATGTATGATACGTTATAGCAAAACTGTAATACATGGTATCCAGGAAATAATATTACTAAGTAGCTAAGCTCATATAACACAAAATTCAAATTACTCTCATCCGACCTGCCTAATAGGTTGAAACCTGTGAGACGCTTTCATGGTGTCTTAATTAAAGATACAATTATTTTAAATGCACTTGTTAATATTTTTAATTATAAATATTATTCAATTATTAAAGTTTGAATATTGGCTCCGAAGTCCGGTATGGGTTTGAAAATAGAAGACAGAAGAGAATGAATCGGCCTCAATCAAAGGCCAACAATTTTGCATTAATTAGTATTCCACCTATTGCGGTCCCCGTTGGCAACCATGTGAAGCTTTCTAAAACCTCTCATTATTTTATGTGGTGAAACTTTAATGTACGGACGCCCTCACCATTGCTCCCCTACGTACCTACCTATTCTACATTCCTATTTTTTTTTTAGTACTACTGATTCTATTATAATGCAGTATTTGTTCATAACTATTTTCTCAACTTATTGAAATACAAACAGTCAATATTATTCTCACTGAGTCTTAAACTCATGATCCCCCATATGAGACAGTCACTTCGTACCACTAGATCATAAAATCATTGACGACATTTCTACCCCTTCATTGTCACATAAGGCGGAATTTCTTTATTCTTAAAGTCCACATCCTGACCATACAAAATAGTTAAAGGATAAATCATGTTGACTCAACGACATATTAGGTTAGAGAACCAGTAACTAGTGATCACAAGGAACTCACCACAATGAGTGAAACTCTACACTGCGATTGCCAGAGTTTCATTATGTATCTTTTCCCATAATCTATTATAATACTTCGCATCATCTATGAACTAAGCTGTTCGTACGAACTTCTATCTCTAATTTATTAACATGGTGTGTTATCATTAGTTAATTTAGAAAAACTTCTTCTATTCTAAAAAATATAATTGAGTGGAAGTCATAAGTTGAGTTATTATTAACACAATCAATTATTACTCAGAAATAATTTTATAAATTTGTCAACTTGAACAATATGGAAGCTAGTCCTCGAAGTAAATACCAATTCCCACCCAATTTTCAATATGCAAACAAAAGTTAGTATGTCCTACAAGAGAAGTCTTTGTAACAATTTTACTCATAAAATAATAAAAGTCATGTAGTATGGTAGGAATCTAGGACTGCATTGTCTAACTCTCATGTACCTGAAAAAAAATAAATAACAATTTATTATTCATGTATACATAAAGTTATTAGAGGAGCCTTCATAAGTCTGCAAAAGTTGCTTCTAGATTATGCTAATTGTATCCAAATGTTGAAGTAATGTTCTCTTCTTTTGATGTATATTTAAAATTATAATCAACTACAATATGTCATGTAGATTTTTTTTTTTTAATAACGTTACACATAAAAATATTTCATATTAAAAATAAAAATGACTGGAGTAATATTATAATTTGAAAAGTTTAACTAATAAGAGGTGCTAATAAATTAGTTATTAGGGAGTACTTTTTATTTTGAGTATACTGTATTTTAACGGGACATTATAACATTTTTTATTTTAAATTTATATTATACTTTATGAAATAACAATCATTATTGTATGGATCATGATCCACATAACTGTGTAAACTATATTATCAAATAATGTACATTCAATACATAAATAATATATTTTTAATATATTAAAAATGTAAATTTCAGAGAAAGTACATTACTTGCGTACTGAATATATATTATTTTGGATAATGCACATTCAATAC